TTTGGTGGTCTTTAGCTATTGACTCTGCAGACAGTTGGTGACTTCTGGGCACTGTGCGCTTCAGCATGCGCTGACCTCCCTCTGTCATTTTATGAAGCCTACCACTTCGTGGCTGAGTTGCTATTGTTCCCAGTTGCTTCCACTTTGTTACAATACCACTAACAGTTGACCGTGGAATATTTAGTAGAGAGGAAATGTCACAGATGGACTTATTGCACAGGTGGCAACCTATCACGGTACCACACTTGGAGTCACTGAGCTCCTGAGAGCGACCCATTCTTTCACAAATGTTTGTAGAAGCAGTCTGCATGCCTAGGTGCTTGATTTTTTACACCTGTGGCCATGGAGGTGATTGGAACACCTGAATCCAATGATTTGGAGGGTTGTCCCAATAGTTTTGGCAATATAGTGTGTATTTATTTATTTATTTATTTATGGTACTTATATATCACTGTCAATTTACGCAGCACTTTACATATATATTGTGCATTCACATCAGTCCCTAACCCTCAAGGGGCGTACAATCTAAGGTCCCTAACTCACATTCATACATACACATATTAGGGCCAATTTAGACAGGATCCAATTAACCTACCAGCATGTCTTTGGAGTGTGTATATGTTGTCTGTGTCTCATTGGGAATATTGAGATGCAACAGAACTTCAGAGGAAAGTGCTGCAAATTTAGGGGATATCACCTTTAAAACAGGTGTCCCCATTGGTGATTTCCCCTCTACCATGTTTATTCTGACTCAGATTGTTGTGGTAGCAATTTATCCCTTGTGAGACCTCTATGCCTAGCCTGTATAAGCAGATATAATCACTGCGGGCAATCCTTATCAGATAGCTGAACTCACCAATAGTGTGTTCATCCAGAAGTTGCTTTATTCTGTACATGTGACAACAGGATACAGCAGAATGAATGGTTTCCAGTATTATGCGGTCAAAAGATGATACTTTCTGTAGCGTACTATGCAGAATACATGTGTCCCTGTTACATGTGGACTGTTAGCTGCCTCCATGACACAGGAACTGCTGTACTCAAGAAGAAGGGAGGAGCTTCATATGCAAAGGAATTGTGTCATAGATCTCAGGGAGCTAATATAAAAAACAAGTGCATTACCAAATAAGGCCACTGGATGGCAGCATATAACTAACTATAGAAATAGCCATAGGAAATGGTACAAAGAATAAACTATATGAATTCTCATGTACATTAACATAAATATTAACTGTGCAACAGCATAATGTTCCCATCCTGTGTCAATTTTAAAATCGTGTATTTTCTATCACTTTTTCCCAAAAATGTAAAGAAAAAAAAAACTGGTCATAAATTTAATTCAACAAGTGTTTCCTAATGATATAAATGTAAAATATATTAATTATAAAATTGGCAAACGTGACTAGATAAAAAGGAGGTATTGTAACAAAGAGAATAATAAAAGATTGATATTAAGCTCACTACTGTACAAAGAGACAATAACCAGGAAAAAAAGCAGCAGACTGTAATGGGGAAAATTTACACGTGTATGGATAGTGCTGGAGTCTCTCAAACTGAACTTAATACTGCAGTGAAGTCGCCTCTATGTTTCTTCACATGCTGACAAGGGCTATCAGTCTTGTGCTGAAGAGGTCTACTAAGTTGAACAGTACTGTCTGCTGGTAAGTATTTTGTGTCTGCAACTGGCATTTACACAGAATAAATTTCCCTGTTTGGAAAGATTTATTGGTATAGATACATTTGTGTCAAAGGAAGATTTTTTTAATGGTTCTGTGGGCCAATATCTAATACAGAACCTTTACTGTGAAATAGTTCTCCAAAAAAGCCAAATAAATGCATTACAGAACTTGTGGATGTGTTGTCAAGGGCTCAGAGTACTGGTGCACAGAAAAGCTCTGACACGTAAATCTGGGTTGAAGGTTCAAGGGAAAAAGAAGAAAAAAGAGACCACGTGTCATGTGTTCAAAGAGAAAACTTGAGAAAAGTGTTGCACACCAAAATCTACCTTGGGTGCTAAAGCCTTTGACCACTTGACCTCTGGAAGGTTTTACCCCTTTAATGACCAAGACATTTTTTTGTTATTCAGCACTGTGCTATTTTTACTGGCAAACGTGCGGTCATGCAACACGGTACCCTAATGAAATTTATATCACTTCTTTTCCACACAAGTAGTGCTTTCTTTGTTTTTTTTTTAATTATTATTATACATACTTAAAAAGCCCTCCCTGGACCCCAATGACCTGAACAACCTCAGACCCATCTCCCTTCTCCCATTCACATCCAAACTCTTTGAGCGCTTAGTCTACAATCACCTAAGCTCTCACCTCAACGACAACAACCTCCTCGATCCCCTCCAGTCCGGCTTCCGTCCCCTACACTCCACCGAAACTGCCTTACTCAGACTCTCCAATGATCTCCTAACCACCAAAACTAACGGCCACTACTCAGTGCTCCTACTCCTTGACCTCTCCGTGGCCTTCAACACAGTCGACCACCCCCTCCTCCTCAAAAAACTACACTCTCTCGGCCTCAGAGATTTCACTCTCTCCTGGCTCTCATCCTACCTATCACATCGATCCTTCAGCGTTACCTATAACGCTACCACCTCCCCCTCTTTCCCCCTCTCTGTTGTGGTCCCTCAGAGATCCGTCCTTGGGCCCCTTATGTTCTCCATCTACTCCTCCTCCCTTGGCCAACTCATACACTCTCACGGCTTCAACTACCACCTCTATGCCGACGACACACAAATCTATCTCTCAACCCCCCGCCTCACCCCCGCAATCTCCGCCAGAGTCTCAAACCTACTAAACGACATATCAGACTGGATGTTGCTCCACTTCCTTAAACTGAACCTCTCCAAAACCGAGCTCCTAGTCTTCCCCCCAGCCCGCACACCTCCCCCCATTGACTTGTCCATCACGTCCAACAATGCCACTATCAGGCCCGCCCCGCAGGCCAGAGTACTTGGGGTCATTCTAGACTCCAACCTATCCTTCCATCCTCAAGTCCAATCACTAACTAACTCATGCAGACTCCACCTCCTCAACATCGCCAAAATCTGCACTTTCCTAACCCCAGAAACCACTAAACAGCTCATCCACTCCCTCATCATATCACGACTCGCCTACTGCAACTCCCTCCTCATTGGCCTGCTTTCGCCACAGGCTATCCCCACTTCAATCAATCCTGAACACGGCAGCCAGACTCATCCACCTTACCAACCGCTCCATTTCCGCCACCCCCTCTGCCAATCCCTCCACTGGCTTCCGATTGCACAACGGATCAAATTCAAAATCCTAACACTGACGTACAAAGCTGTCCATCATACTGCCCCAAACTACATCCCCGACCTAATAGCCAAGTACCACCCATCACGCACACTCCGCTCCTCTCAAGAGCTCCTTCTCTCTAGTTCCCTAGTCTCCCCCTCCCATACCCGCCTCCAGGATTTCTACAGGACGTCACCCATACTCTGGAACTCCCTACCCCAATTCATCAGACTATCACCTACTCTCTTCTCATTTAGGCGCACCCTGAAAACCCACCTCTTCAGGGAAGCCTACCCCACCCCCTGCTAATTGCCAATCTCCTCCACTCTTCCAACCACTCCATCCCCCACAGCTATCTCCTCCTGTACCACTATCCCCTCCCTCCTAGATTGTAAGCTCGAAAGGCAGTGCCCTCGATCCCCTCGTGTATCTTATTGTATTGTTATTGTACTGTCGCATGTTCTGTCCCCCTTTGTAATGTACAGCGCTGAGCGAACTATTGGCGCTTTATAAATATTGTATAATAATAATTATACAATTTATAAAAGACTGAAAATTAAGAAAATAAAATATGTTCTACTTGAAGTTACAAAGTATAAACAATAAAACAATGTTAAAAACAAAATTTTGTCACAAATTTAGGCCAAAATGTATTCTGCTACATGTCTTTATTAAAAAAATCTCAATAAGTGTTTTATAATTGGTTTATGTGAAAGTTATAGAATCTACAGTTGGAGGTATATATACTGGAATTTATGTTTATTTATTATACTATTAATGGTGGCGATCAGTGACTTATAGCGGGACTGCAGGACTGAGGCGGGCATTCTGTCCCTGGGTGGGAGCTGACTAACTGCCACTGACATCTCCAGTGACACTAATACAATAATCAGTGCTAATAAAATGCACTGACACTGTACTAATGACACTAGGAAGGAAGGCGTTAACACCTGGGGCGATCAAAGGATTAACTGTGTATTAGAGAGTGTTTTTATTGTGTACTGTGATATATTTTTCTAACCAGACCTGCTGCTTTCTATCTCTCTGCTGTGCAGAGAGATAGAAAGCAACACTTCCATGCTGATAGGAGAGAAATCTGTGTTGTTTACATACAGATCTCTCCCTTCTCAGCTTCACCAACGATCACCGAGTCCCAGCCGAAAAATCATCGGCTGGGACCCTGTGATTGACATTATCAGGAGTCAATAGCAGTGCGAGTAGGGCAGCGCACACGTACTACCTACCTTGAAATGCAAAAGCATGTATATTTACATGATTTTGCCCAGGAAAGCCGCCCTGTAGCAGTACATTTGCTATGGGTCAGCGGGCAGTGGTTAAATGGTTTCTGTGAAAGTTATAGTGTCTACAAACTATTATATATATATACTGTATAAACTATATTGCCGAAACTATTGGGATGCCTGCCTTTACACGCACATGAAATTTAATGGCATCGCAGTCTTAGTCCGTAGGGTTCAATATTGAGTAGGCCCTCCCTTTGCAGCTATAACAGCTTCAACTCTTCTGGGAAGGCTGTCCACAAGGTTTAGGAGGGTGTCTATGGGAAGGTTTCGCTGTTCTTCCAGAAGCACATTTGTGAGGTCAGGCGCTGATGTTGGACGAGAAGGCCTGGCTTGCAGTCTCCCCTCTAATTCATCCCAAAGGGTTTCTAGCGGGTTGAGGTTTGAACAGGAAGGGGCCATCCCCAAACTGTTCCCACAAAGTTGGGAGCATGAAATTGTCCAAAATGTCTTGTTATGCTGGATGCCTTAAGAATTCCCTTCACTGGACCATCTCTGAAAAACAACCCCACACCATAATCCTCCCTCCACCAAACTTTACACTTGGCACAATGTTGTCAGGCAAGTGCCATTCTCCTGGTAACTGCCAAACCCAGACACATCCATTGGATTGCCAGATAGAGAAGCGTGATTGTTCACTCCAGAGAACACGTCTCCACTGCTCTAGAGTCCAGTGGCAGCGTGCTTTACACAACTGCATCCGAGGCTTTGCATTGCACTTGGTGATGTAAGGCTTGGTGATGCAGTAAACCCATTCCATGAAGCTCTCTGTGCACTGTTGTTGTGCTAATCTGAAGACCACAGGAGGTCTTTGACTATTGACTCTGCAGACAGTTGCTTACTTCTGTGCACTGTGCGCTTCAGCATGTGCTGACCCCGCTCTGTCATTTTACGTGGCCTACCACTTCATGGCTGAGTTGCTGTTGTTCCCAGTTGCTTCCACTTTGTTATAATACCACTAACAGTTGACCGTGGAATATTTAGTAACAAGGAAATGTCAGGGATGGGCTTATTGCACAGGTGGCAACCTATCCCGGTACCATGCTTGAATTCGCTGAGCTCCTGAGAGCGACCCATTCTTTCACAAATGTTTGTAGAAGCAGTCTGCATGCCTAGGTGCTTGATTTTTTACACCTGTGGCCATGGAGGTGATTGGAACACCTGAATCCAGTTGTGCTTGAAAATCCTGATTGGCAGCCTCCAGATTCAGCAGCACCTATTATTCCGTCATTCACAGCCCAACCCAGTATTCAGGTGGAAACAGCAAATTTAATAAATCCCCTTGATTTTTTTGAACTGTTAACACGGAAGAGCTGTTTAATTTGATTGTGGACCAAAGCAATCTTAACGCTCATCGCCCCCAACCCAAATTCAAATCTTGCCAGAGAATTCATGTGGAAACCTGTCATGGTTTCTGAGGTTAAAATTTTTTGGAGGCTTAACCCTTAACATCAACATTACAAAAAAGAATGAATTGTGGTCATATTGCTCAACAGACCCAATTCATCATGTACCCATGTTCTCTGCTGCAATGCCTAGGCAATAGATATGAAAATATAATGTGTTTCAGGCATTTCAGCGAATATACACTCTGTTGTCCTCAGACTAACTGAGAACGTTCTTTGTGTTCATTCTTCCTCAGCCAGGCAATTGACCAATTTTCTAGATAATTTGGACAAATTTTCAGTTGTTGCAAAAATAGCAAAGCATTTTGTAGTGTTGAACTTTCACAATTTAACAGGAAATAGCAGGGGCAATTGTTTCCCTTTTCATTACTCCCACATTCTATTGTGTCTAGTCTAGAGGACATGAAGTGAAGGGAAATTTCGCTAATGAGAGGGAAAAAAAAGAAAAACCCTTGAAAGAGGTTTTTAACCCTTCCACCCTCTATCCACTATTGTTTGAGTTTATATATATTTTAAAGCGGTAGTAAACCACATCCAAAAAAAATCCCCTGCAAGGTAAAGGCATAATGTGCTAATATGTATTGCATACTAGCACATTATGAAGAACTTACCTTAAAATGAAGCCCTCCAGCGGAGCTCTGTCATGGCTTCCCGGGCTTCCATCTTCACCCGGTCTTCCTTGAGGGTTTGCGAGCTCTGACCATCTGACTGGCCGAGCCACAATGACGTCATTCCAGCGCATGTGCCATTCCTTCAGAGCGCATGCGCCAGCTATCAAAAAGAGCTAATATCTACTAAACGATGCATGTTTAGGAGATATTAAAGTGTTACTAAACCCACAACAGTAAAATTAGATTGTATATGCAGAAAAGCACGCTTGTTATACTCAGTGTGGAACCTAAGGGGTTAATACTCTGCATTGTGTAAAAGGCTGTTTGATCCTGACTTCTCTGATCCTCCCCTTCTTCCTGTGTCCCCCTCTTATCTCCTGATAAGACATATCATGTGGAGACACTCTGCACATGCTCAGTTTGGTGTGTATTGCTAGAGAGGTTGCATGTGATCAGCACAGGACCAATCAGCACTGTTCAGACAGGTCAGGGATTCTGCATCCAGGGCCCTTGAACCCCTCGTGTATTGTTTTGTTACTGTATTGTCTCATGTTCTGTCCCCCACTATAATGTACAGCGCTGAGCAAACCTTCTGGCGCTATATAAATACTGTATAATAATAATTTGCGGCTACAGCTGTCGATCATGGGTCCCAGCTGGAGATTCCCCGATGGCACCCGGTGATCACTGAGGAAAAGTAACAGGGGAGTGGTCTGTATATAAACAACACAGATCTCTCCCCTGTCAGCACCGACATGCTGCTTTGTATTGCTCTGCATAGCAGAGCAATTCAAAGCAGTATGTTTCCTTAGTAAAACAGCACACTGTTAACCCTTTGATCGCTCCACGTGTTAACCTATTCCTGCCCAGTGCCATTAGTACAGTGTCAGTGCTTTTTATTAGCACTAATCACTGTATTGGTGTCACCGGGGATGTCAGTGACAGTTAGTCAGTTCTCCCCAGTGTCAGAATACTCGCAGTCCCGCTATAAGTCACTGATCACCACCATTACTAGTATAAAAAATGAAAAACCTATTTTATATACCGTCATTTGTAGACGCTATAACTTTCACTTAAACCAATTAATTTACACATATTTATTTTGATCTCAATTTTTGATGAAATTTGAATTTTTACACTTTTTATGGATATGTTTCATAAAAAGCAAAAAATATAGATTTTTTAAATTGTCGGCCTTTTTTTTTTTCGTTTATAGTGCAAAAAAAATAGAAAAATTTACAGGTGATCAAATACCACTGAAAGAAAGCTCTATTTGTGGGGAAAAAAGGACATAAATTGCATTTGGGTGCAGCGTTGCATGATCGTGCAATTGTCAATTACAGTAACACAAAAAAATGGCCTAGTCAGGAAGGGGGGTAAATCCCCTGGAAGGCAAGTGGTTACAGTGGGGATCGAAAGTTTGGGCACCCCAGCTAAAAATTTGTATTAATGTGCATAAAGAAGCCAAGGAAAGATGGAAAAATCTCCAAAAGGCATCAAATTACAGATTAGACATTCTTATAATATGTCAACAAAAGTTAGATTTTATTTCCATCATTTACACTTTCAAAATAACAGAAAACAAAAAAATGGCGTCTGCAAAAGTTTGGGCACCCTGCAGAATTTATAGCATGCACTGCCCCCTTTGCCAAGCTGAGACCTGCCAGTGTCATGGATTGTTCTCAATCATCGTCTGGGAAGACCAGGTTATGTCAATCTCAAAGGTTTTAAATGCCGAGACTCATCTGACCTTGCCCCAACAATCAGCACCATGGATTCTTCTAAGCAGTTGTCTAGAAAACTGAAACTGAAAATAGTTGACGCTCACAAAGCTGGAGAAGGCTTTAAGAAGATAGCAAAGCGTTTTCAGATGTCAATATCCTCTGTTCGGAATGTAATTAAGAAATGGCAGTCATCAGGAACAGTGGAAGTTAAAGCAAGATCTGGAAGACCAAGAAAAATATCAGACAGAACAGCTCGCAGGATTGTGAGAAAAACAATTCAAAACCCACGTTTGACTGCACGATCCCTCCAGAAAGATCTGGCAGACACTGGAGTTGTGGTACACTATTCCACTATAAAGAGATACTTGTACAAATATGGTCTTCATGGAAGAGTCATCAGAAGAAAACCTCTTCTACGTCCTCACTACAAAAATCATCGTTTGAACTTTGCAAATGAACATATAGACAAGCCTGATGCATTTTGGAAACAAGTTCTGTGGACCGATGAGGTTAAAATTGAACTTTTTGGCCGGAATGAGCAAAGGTACATTTGGAGAAGAAGGGGCACAGAATTTAATGAAAAGAACCTCTGTCCAACTGTTAAGCATGGGGTTGGATCAATCATGCTTTGGGGTTGTGTTGCAGCCAGTGGCACAGGGAACATCTCACGAGTAGAAGGAAAAATGGATTCAATAAAATTTCAGCAAATTTTGGATGGTAACTTGATGCCATCTGTGAAAAAGCTGAAGTTAAAGAGAGGATGGCTTCTACAAATGGATAATGATCCTAAACACACCTCGAAATCCACGGGGGATTACATCAAGAGGCGTAAACTGAAGGTTTTGCCATGGCCTTCACAATCTCCTGACCTCAACATAATTGAAAATCTATGGATAGACCTTAAAAGAGTAGTGCGTGACAGACAGCCCAGAAATCTCAAAGAACTGGAAGACTTTTGTAAGGAAGAATGGGCAAAGATACCTCAAACAAGAATTGAAAGACTCTTGGCTGGCTACAAAAAGCGTTTACAAGCCGTGATACTTGCCAAAGGGGGCAGTACAAGATATTAACTCTGCAGGGTGCCCAAACTTTTGCAGACGCCATTTTTTTGTTTTCTGTTATTTTGAAAGTGTAAATGATGGAAATAAAATCTAACTTTTGTTGACATATTATAAGAATGTCTAATCTGTAATTTGATGCCTTTTGGAGATTTTTCCATCTTTCCTTGGCTTCTTTATGCACATTAATACACAAATTTTTAGCTGGGGTGCCCAAACTTTCGATCCCCACTGTAAATACAGCTGCTTAGATGTGAGGGGATTGATAGGTGATATTGAGGAATATACCGTATTTTTCGCTCCATAAGACGCACTTTTTTCCCCCAAAAAAAGGGGGGGGGGGATGTCAGTGCGTCTTATGGAGCGACTATGAAGCGGCCGGTCCGGTATTTCCACCGCTGCCGTGTCAGAATACCTGGCAGGCCGCTCAGGTCTTCTCTGCAGTAGAACCTTATCTGTTCCTCGGTCCAGTGCTGCGCAATCTTCCCGCGCCTGCTGTCAGCCAGGTGCCAACACTAAAGGGAGGATAACTCCCCGGAAGTGGGAGTGGGTACCTGTCAAATTCAGGTACCCGCTCCCCCTCCCTTCCCAAAGGTCAGCAGTCTCTTAGTCATCCCCTGCACTGTCTGCAGTCTCTGGTCATTTGTACTGTCCGCAGTCTCTGGTCATCTCCTGTACTGTGTCTGCAGTCTCTGGTCATCTCCTGTACTATGTCCGCAGTCTCTGGTCATCTCCTGTACTGTCCGCAGTCTCTGGTCATCTCCTGTACTGTCCGCAGTCTCTGGTCATCTCCTGTACTGTGTCCGCAGTCTCTGGTCATCTCCTGTACTGTCCGCAGTCTGTGGTCATCTGTACTATGTCCGCACTATGTCCGTACTGTCTGCAGTCTGTGGTCATCTCCTGTACTGTGTCCGCAGTCTCTGGTCATCTTCTGTACTATGTCCGCAGTCTCTGGTCATCTCCTGTACTGTCTGCAGTCTCTGGTCATCTCCTGTACTGTGTCTGCAGTCTCTGGTCATCTCCTGTACTATGTCCGCAGTCTCTGGTCATCTCCTGTACTGTGTCCGCAGTCTCTGGTCATCTCCTGTACTATGTCCGCAGTCTCTGGTCATCTCCTGTACTGTGTCCGCAGTCTCTGGTCATCTCCTGTACTGTCTGCAGTCTCTGGTCATCTCCTGTACTGTGTCTGCAGTCTCTGGTCATCTCCTGTACTATGTCCGCAGTCTCTGGTCATCTCCTGTACTGTCTGCAGTCTCTGGTCATCTCCTGTACTGTGTCCGCAGTCTCTGGCCATCTCCTGTACTATGTCCG